TGCCAGCGCCACTCGCAGCCCCGGCGCGGTGCCAGAGGCTCCCACCGCCTTCCCTCGCCTTCCCCCGCCGGCGGCCGGGGCGAATGGGCCGCGTCTGTCCCGCGGTGTGCGCTGTCCTGCGGCGCGGCACCACCCCGGGCAGCGCCGGGCTCGGAGCGGCAGCCCCGGCCCCTCGGGGTCAGTCCGGCCCCTGGAGCGGGGGCTCTGAGGGGCTTTCCTCGGGCACGCCGGGCTCCGCGGGGGGCCGTGGGAATGTGACGGCGCTAAAGCGGTGGCGAGGAGGGGACTGCAGAGGAGAGTTAGGCGGGGAGCGCGGCGCTGCCAGGCGCTGTCCCGGCAGGGCTGTCTTGAGTACGGGCGAGCCCGGCGGAAAGGGGCCGCTCCGCTGTCGGAAACTGCTCCATCGGGGAAAGTACAAGACTGGAGTGTCAGGGTCGTTTCTCGTCCCCGTTCCTGAGTTTGAAACTTCAGCCAGGAGTGGTCAGAAGAGGTCCTTCCCCTTCACCTGAAAGACCAGGTATTGATTTCTTCCTGTGGAGACACACGGGAAAGACAGAATAACCAAGCGGAAAGGGAAGGAGGTAATGGAAGCCAGCCTGTAGCTCCGTTTGGTTTGCTCTGAGGCTGCCTGTTGGACCGCTGAGCTGGGAGGGCAGCAGAGCACGGCGGTGCCTTGGGATGCACTGTGCTGCTGGCAAAGTCCAAACTGTTCCGGAAGGATAGTGCTTTTAGCCCTGAGGTAATTCTCTCTGGCTCTGCTATTTGTAGATAGGCTCTGTTAAGTTGCCCAGGTGATGTCTGTGTGAATACCTTTACTGGCTTTCTCAAAAGCAACCATTCTTTCAGATTTCTGTCTTTACAGGGTGTTAGAATAGCTGACATTTTAAAATAAAACAAACTGCTGGAATCTAAGACTGTGAAAAAAAAAACAACTGAAATTGATGCATGTATAGAAAGTAATTGATGCATGTCAGTGAGGTGGGTGAATATGAGACCAATCCCGAGTTGTTCTAGACATACAATGCTTGTTGTGGCTTTGGTTTTTCAAAATGAATCTCAGTAACTAGATCTCATTCCTGTAGGCATTATCATGACCTCTTAAAGTTTGTTGATATCATATCTTTATGAGTTTTTATCTCATGTAGAGCAGAGGTGGATAGCCACAAAGACTTTCAGATTGGAAGCTCTTCATGGAAGTGGGGGGTTTTCATATGTTTTCAGACTTCTGAAATGTAGACTGGTGCAGCAGCAAGAAAATATATTTGTCATGTGAAGCCTCATGATAACATCTGAGTGCTTCCACCCCTTCCTGTATTCATCTTAACGGCCTTAATAAATAAGAAAATGCAATCATCTCTGTTTTATAGAAGAAACTGAAGGATGGCACAGCTATGGCTTACTACTCATTATGACAAAAAGCTTGGTTTTAGGTTTTAGTCTAGTAGCTTCTGCCACTAGACTAGTGACTGATTTTGCTTGTGAAATGACAAAGAAGGGGCAGCAGGGCACATGAGAAGAAAGAACTGTTGAAAGGCTGTAAACTACAATATAAGTAAAATTAACCTGACTTTAGCATTCCAGACATCTGTTCTGATTCTGCAGCTGTTTGAGGAGATAAATGACCTACACAGATAAATCCGAATGTAGCTATACCATAGTAATGTGCAGTTTTCAAGCATTTGCCTGAGTAAGCAGCAATTTGCTCAAGATGGTTTGCAAATCAGGGATTTTTGATTAGACCTTAGAAAAAGTCTCAGACATTGCTTCCAGCTGATTGTAATGGACACCTCAGTGCCTTTGAAGATGTCACTGTGTGCCTGAGCAGACTGAGCATGCTTGGTCTGCTTATTTTGTTTAAGTGAGTATTTTGTTAAAGATAAAAGACCTCTCATGTGTAAGAACTCCAGCATGACGAAATAGTGTTTTGAGACCTCTGACAATTTGTTAGGCCTGTTTCTTACAAAGCAAGTTGAACCCTTTTCTCTGACGAACTTTTCCCTGAGATCATCGGTGGGGCTCTAAATTGCAAGCCAGTGTGTGATGTGGCTTAGAGGAAAGACAGCAAAGCTGCATTTCTGCACTGGCCCTGTGCCAGACCACCTGTTTGTAAACTCAGAGCAATTGTTCTTAGTAAAATTTCACTGCTGGAACTGGTGCTGGCTGCTGCTCTGCTTCACTCCCACCAGCTGCAGAGCCACTGTACCTCCTGCTCCACATCTGCAGGCAAAAGCATCACACACACTTGGCCCAACATCCGTCTGTGAGTTTATCCAACCTCCACCCTCTCTGGCTGGAACCAGGGCAGGGGGCAGCAGTCAGCAGTGTTTATGCAGGTTTGTCTGATTTTCCTGCTGTGAATCCAGGGAATGATCATTTTTTTCAGGGCAAGAGCAAAAGTGCTAGCCCAGGCAGACTGTTTGGTAGATATTCTTCTGTAAGCTTTAATCCCACAGCCCCTACAAGTATCCATAGCTAAGGTTAAATGGAGCAGACAGCCACAATATTTGCAGGTGACAGTGAACGTGCTGTCCCCACCGCATGTGCATTTTGCAAATAGACCTCTTCTGCTGGAAACACAAACTAGTTGCAATGAGAGTGATCCCAAAGTCCATGCAATACTGTACCAGAGGATTAAACTCTTCACTCTTCAGTACCTTCTTGTCAATCTGGTCTAATTTGGTTCTACTGAATTTCAGCCAGAGACCGCCTACTTTTTACAGGGCTGTTCCTCTTTTGACTAATAATGGCTCAGCTGTGTCTCACTGACATATTGCTAACTGAAGGCCAGTCTCTTCCATACTCCGTATTATAGAAGAAATTTACCTTCGATCCCAAAATTAGTCAGCATGCATGCAAAAAAACCCAAACAAACCACCACCACCAAAAACCCAGCAGACCCCAAGCAAACAAAAAACCCAGCCAAACAAAAAACCCCAAACCAACAAAAACAAAACCACAGAATGCCCTAAATAACAATAAAAACCCAACCAAACAAAACCAAACAACAAAAAACTCTCCAACAACAAAAAACCCAAAACAAGAAGAAAAAACGAAGAAAACACAAAAAAACCCAAACAACCAACCACAAAACAAACCAAAACCATTTAAGAAGATCTTCTGAAAGATCAAGGCGTAAAAGCAGGTTCTGATTATCAAACCCACAGCAATTGCATTAAAATAGCCTTTCTTTATAATTTCATAATTATGGCTGCAGAGTAATTTATGATAGATAAATATGCAGCACCTAGCAAGTCCATGGTAACAGAGGCAATTACTCATCCATACAGCATTCCAGCAATTATGTTGCATTTTATTAAGATAACTCTGCCCTGGACATTGAAACTGGCTTCTGATTTATGTTTCACCACTCCCCTTTTGCATTCTGAGTCAAGAGTATAAATGTCTTTGAGGCCTTTATGAAAGTCCCTTAACCCGTTTTAGGGTGACCAACTCACTCCTATTCCCTTTGTTCTGCCACAGAAGATTCCTTGCTGATTTTTTTTCCTGCTGTAATGAGGATCTGCAGTCATTGACCAGCACTGCTTCAAGACAGAGGTAATGCTCTGATGCACCTGGCATAGGTGACCTTTGTGCCTGAGGAGTGGTCAATGAGCTGTGCTACCACTGACCCACACAGTGTCCAGCGCCTCACCAGAGTGAGCACACGGCTGGGCAGGGATGCCCTCTCACTGACACGGGGGCTGCCAAGCAATTTTTCTGCAGGTCCCATTAGGTCTGACCCCCTTCCTGCTAGTGCCCCCCATCCCCTCATGCGAGCAGTGGGAGCTGCTGGTGGCACCAGGGCACCATCCTCCTCAGGGACGATGGGACTGAAGGGACGAGGGAGCCGCTGAACAGTAGGTGAGGCTGAGGGGCCGGTGGGTGGCTGAGGAGGCTGAGAGGTAGCTCAGGGGGATGGTGGAGACTGGGGGCTATGGGATGGCAGGGGCAGAAGGGAGGACTGAAGGGATTGGGGTGAGGGCTGGGGACACTGATGGCTGGCAGGGGGCTGAGGGGACCAGGGAGGGGCTGAGGGCACTGGGGTGTGGCCTGAGGGCACTGAGGGGACTGCAGGGAACTGATGACATAAATACTCAAGCATATTGTTTGCAGTATCTCAACTGAAACAAGAGAAACTGAGACCCATTGGTTGAAGTTTCATAAACCATAAAAAAGTTTCCTGACCCAGGAGACAAATTGTTCAACCAAGCCAGCAGGACACGAACCAACTCTGGAGTCATGTTCTCAGGCGACTTGTGACCGTGAAAGGATAAAGTGAGGTGGGGGCTATTCCCCAAATGACCACCAGAGACCCTCTTGAGACCATTCCCCAAACTGTATGAGCATGCCCAGTTATTAAGGCCTACAGCTTTATCTATGTAAATGATTCCTGAGACTGGGGAGGATAATTCCGGGAATTTAGATGAATGTATATATGGTTTGCCTAGATAAATGAAGCTTTGAAACGTCGAATGCATGTGTTAGGAGTGATTCTTGCTGAAATAAAGTAATGCCTGCCTTCTAATACTGAAATTAGTGTTAGAGAGTTTTATTCTTCCCGACATTTTGGTGACACTGGGGGGTGGGGTGGGGACACTGAGGGCACTGACCGGG